CGGCACTGGGGCTGCCCGTGGCCCGGCACTGGGGCTGCCCGTGCCCTGGCACCTCTCAGGCTGCATTCACAACCCAGTGAGGGAACAGGCCGAGGGAGGGTCACAGCTGATGCAGGGGCAGCCACACAAACCTGGTGGGCCAGTTGAGTGCAGGGTGACGAGCAGGATGGCTGGGACCTGTCAAAACACAGACAATCCTGCGCTCATCACAATCCTGTTTCCAGGAGCAGCCAGGAACTGACCCTCTGCTGTACACAAGTATGGAGACAACCAGCCCAGAACTATAYGGTTCTAGGTGTGCAGCTTTCTACCTCTTCCCTTGACTGTACACCACGTTTTTCTTCTGTTAACCCAACTCTAATATTCAGAAAATATCACACAGCTCACAGACTACAACAGGAGATGCAAGTTTCTATAGATTCATATGTCTGCAATTACATATCCATGCCTGTAACATAAATGTGTGTAGCTGAGTACTCTCAGCAGACATCAGACTCTCCACTTGTTCAAAAACTGGGCATGTTAATTCCTGATGTAACCTTGCTGACACAAGATTTACAGAAGAGGCTAATCTGGCCTAATACATTTAACTGGATACTATTAAAACCAGTAGGAAAACAATGCAATACTATAAATATCACTAGTTGAGTTATGAAGCTGGTTCCTGTGCAGACACAGTAGCAGCTGTGAGCCATAACATCAATTCAGACCTGCCCTGGGTCCTCTCTAAATCACAGAAATGCAAGTGGCCAAAGTCTGAAACTGTTTTTCAATGTTCTCCTCAATTCCCTTGCTTTTACCTCTGGGTAATTTTTTTTTCCTGCCAATTCTCACTTGGCTGCTGCTTCTTCAAGGTTTGATGGATACAATCTCAAGGACATGGGGGACGTACAGCACAATCATTTTCTGCCACAGTCATTTTATTGGCTCTGGTCAGAATCTGTTCACAAATYCAAGAACAGCTCCTGACGCTCTGAAGGAGACATAATTTCCTTGCAAAAATGCAGTCTCCATCAAAAGTCAGCAGTTTGCTGGTGGAGTGAAATTATTTAGTGGATTCATTAACTCCCTCCAAGGCAGGAGGCAGCAGCACACGGGCAGCACTCACCTGGTGGCGGTCGTAGCTCAGTGATGTTCTCGGTGGCTTCATCATCCGAGTCTTCAGTTGCCACCACCTTGTACCTGTTGCTGCTCTGCTTGTTCAGGAGATGGGGGACTTGCAGCGCAGCCTCCCGCTCCGCAGCCAGGTCCAGGTCTTGCTGGGCAAGGTGGGCCCGCAGCTGCCGGATTTCGAACTAGAGGGGAAAACAACACAACTRATGTGACCTGGATGTGACTGGAAATCTGTGTTCTAGAGCTGAGGCCTGTTACCCAGCTCAACATTAAACTGCTGCAGGCCTGGGTGAAGACCTGTGAGAGCAAACAATTTGTTGCAGGGGTACATGAGTCCACGCTCATGTTCTGATGTTCTCCCAGAGCTCCTAAGATCTGGCCTATTCTTCACATCATCTAAATTAGTAGCTGCCTTGCGCTCCTCGTCRATTTAGCATACTTGTGCATGCTGCATAGAGGCTCTTGGACAATTTCTGACAGAAGGAACTGCTCAATTATTCGAAAACTTTCTAGAAGATCACCCTTAACAGCCATGTAAGTTCTTGAGACTCATCCTTCACAGCCTGACTTTGTACAGAGGATTTCTGTGGAGGCAGGATCTCAGAGTAATGCCCAATTTTTGCTTCCCTGTTGCCAAGGGCAGGACGAGGGATGCTGTGGTTCCCTTCCACCCCAAAACCTTCTGTGCTCACGAGTGTGCCGGAAACCCTGGGGCAGGGTGCCATTCTTCTGGCGCAAACATGTGGGCCAGGACGATTAAGGGTCTGCTGCAGCRTGGGGGATCAGCCTCGTGACTGCTGTTATAAAGCAGACGCTGACAAAAAGGCACAAGGGGACCAGCAACGACCTGACAGATGCAGCACACTTCTGTGCTTAGGGGGCCACACWTCTTCCACCGCACGAGGAAAATCCTCTCCTCGAGAGACTGAAGGGACCCTCTAGGCCCTTTTGTAAGAACAGYGAAATCCCAGCGCCAGAGCTGGCTGGCAGAGGGTTCTCCTTTTCAAATGCTTTTTAAGATCTGTAGTGCAGAAGCGACCAAGTCATGTCTCATTACAGAGCCTGAGAAGGAAAAGCAAATGAGGCAAGTAATAGGCACGGGCATCTAAAATTCAGCACCGCGGGGCCGCCCCTCACTGAAGCAGCCAAGGGTGCCTGTGGCTGCCGCGAGGCCGAGCCGGGCGAGCACCACTGTTGGGCGYGGGGCTGCGCGCGTGACCAGAGCAGCGCCAGGCGTCCTGCCGCGYGCCCGCGCTGTGTCCCACTGCGCCGCAGGGCGAGCGAGACGCAGCTCCCAGCCCTTCAGAAAGAAAAAGAGAGAAAAAACAGAGATTCCAGTTTGCTCTATGTGGAGGCTGGCATCTGCTTTCCAGAGCACAAGCAAAGGAGCTTACRGGAACTGCAGGGCTCACTGCACGACTCAAAACTAGAGAGTAAAAGGGCTGTTTTGGCCCTCCTCGTTACTCTCARACTGGCTCAACACAACACACAGCTTGTTCTCTCCGAATCAGTGAACACGCTGGGGCAGTTGTGGGTGCACAAAATACGTGCTGCTCCTGAGCAAGGTCCCTGCCAGGCAGTCCTTGGAGCCCAGGCCACTAGCTAAGCACAGCCCTGTCCCGTGCTCCCTCCACTGAGACCTCTGTGGGGCAGGTCCCAGCTGGCGTGTTCGGTGGTAGCCAGGGCGCCTTGCTGCTCCCCCTGCCTCTGAGAGCGCCCCGAGCCGCTGGCTGCTCRTGTCACTGCAGAGGGGAGAGCATGAATGGGCCACTAAGCCAGAGACTGATGCTATTTGTCAGGGCTTAATTCTGACTCCCTCAAGTATTTCCTATTTCATCTTAAAAAGAAGAAAGTTTCCCTTTCGGAGATCCCCTTGGCTTGAAGGGARAAATATACTCAAAAACAATAGTTTAATTTTTTTTTTTTTTTCGGAAGGCATTGCTTAATCACACTGACTTGCCTAGCTCACATTGAAAGGCAGTCAGAATTTGGCATTGTTACTGTCCTTGTACATCTCACATTTCACCCTTCAACAACATTCCTTTGTATTAAAAAAAATATTGCCCCTAAGATGCTTAATTCTTGTCTAAAGGCAGGACCTGATTTTTTTTTTTTTCTCAGAAGATAAAAAAAAAAAATAACAGCAGGTACAAAGCAAATAGATAAAGCTAGTTAAAGGCGAGCTCAAAACATCATCRCATTGTACTTCTGTTTCTCACCCAATTTAAGCTGCTTAGGCATTTACAAAGACTGGCTGAACCTTGCAAGGACCAAAGGCTTGAAGAAGATTGCTGTATTTGAGAGAGGTGAAGCACATAAGCAAAAACTTTCCTGCCACAGTGAAGCTACAGCAAAAAGGAGCAGAGAAATAAGACTTACGCCCACTCGTGTGCACCAAGCAATAAAGGAAGCGTTTCCAAATGGTTTGAATCCAGAGATACTGTCAATGCTTAACATCTCTATGGCACAGCGACCATCCAGCTTTTAAAGGATGAGTTCATAAAYCTTACTGTTCAATATGACCCTGCCAACAAACTACCAACTGCTCAGCCTGGTTTGCTGGCCCAGCAGCAGTCTGTGAGCATCACCTTGTGTCGCCACACTGGACAACTGCATTTAGACCAAATAAATCTTTATCAAATACTTAAGGAAAAATATTACCTTGGTTGACGCACAACACAAACAGGGAACACCACAGCGACCCAGGTGACCAGCTACTACTGCTGAAAACACGAGCAACAGAAGAGGCTTTGCTGCCATCTTCYGTTTAAGGGACAGAAACACACGCCTAAGCCACGCACCGCAGAAGCACCTGCTTCTCAGCATCTCACAAATAAAGCATCCTAGAAGAAACTGAAACCTATACCTCCTGTCCTGGCTCAAGTAACACTTCTCTCATCCACTGCCCAACTATGAAAGGCGCATGCAGGACTTGGAACTTTTAAGTGATGTGTGAACCCAAGTTTATGGCTTGCTGCAAACACAATCCATATGTCCGTCCTCTTTTCGGCTCTCACCCTTGAGCAAGCCCATCTGATCTAACCTCCAGAACCGCAGATGAGCTGTCAGGAGCAGAGTGGGGGCTGTACCCCCAGGCAGAGCAGAGCACCCCGCACGTCGGCACCGTGCGCAAGACGTGCGGGGAGAGTGCACAGAAACACTGCGCTCGCCTACGGCTGCTGCTGGCCAGCACGGGCTCTCCCACCCTTCCTTTACCATGGATGGTCTCATCATCCTCTTCCAGGTCCCACTCCTGCTTGCCCTGAAGTCTCTGTAGTCATTAAAAAGGATGGAAAGAGTAAATACTGTCATGTGAGTAACTGTAACTGGAATCACATGTTCTCTTAAGCTTTTTAGCTCATAAAAGGCATATACCTATCTACTCAGGAGACTGGTTCAATATTATTTGCAATTAATACTTAAAAATTAAACCAAGATACTTTAGAAGCTGGAATACAGACATGGCAACAAAGAGCAATCCACTAACAACAAAGGTTAGATTAAATAGGGGTGGGTGTTCCTTGCGGGTATAATTCAGGGAGAGACTGCATGAGCAAATTATGTTGCAGGTGCTTATATCTCCTGAACATTATATTGAACACTGACCTCGGRCAGGTCTAATGTGTAAAAGAGCTAATGAGATTGCTCTGACTGCATGTCATATACTCCAGGGCATGTTAAATAAATCAGAAAAAGGTGTAAAATATAACGTTCTTTTTAAGTAAAAATTCTGAGCCAAATTAAACACATGAAATTTCTATTTGCAGACAGGAGCTGATGCAGCTATCTGGAGGCAGACCTGGGCCTCCTGAATATGGGAGTACTGCAAGAAACCTCTCTGAGAAAATTATGTTTCCTGTTTTCAGGTAAATCATCCTTTCTTCATCATCCTTTAATAAACGTTTAACATAAATGTTAATGAAATGTTTAGCATAAGAAAAATAAAACATAAAAATATATGTGTATGCTTTGATTTGTTTTAAAAGAAGACTTCTTCATAGGTATCAGCTCTGCCATAGGCGCTGAGGAAATCCCATGGAGAGCCAGTGGGTAAGTAATGGGCATGCTGCTGTATGCAAGAAAACCTGCCTACAGCAAGGAGGCTGATGGAAATGAACTGCTGTCTTACAGGGATTGCAAACTGAGCCTTGGTCCCTTTGAGACTGGTACTGAAGCTGCTTACCATGACACCCATGACAGGCATTATCTGTAGTTACACACAGTGATAGCTTCTAGTGCGTCCCTAACATACTCTACAATGGAAAAGCACGTTTGAAAACATCACAGGTATCACCAAACAATTTAGGTAGGAAGGACGCGTGAGGATCACTTCAACACCTTAATCAAAGCAAGCTCCTTCAGCTCAGATTGCTCAGGCCTGTCAGGTTTTGAATGTTGCCATGAATGGAGATCCCACAACACTTGGTACCTGACAATTAATTCCGGTGGTCAACCACCCTAACAATAAAAAAGATTTTTCTTATACTTAATAGGAATTCTTATTCCAGCTTGTACTCACCACTTCTTTTACCGTCTACAGTCTTCTGTGACAGAGCTGCATTTAGCAATAACGTCCCCCTCCTTATCTTCTCGCCACGAGGCTGAACAAGCTCAGCTTCCTCGGCTTTTCCTATGCCACGCGCCCCAGCCTAAACTGCCTAGGTAGCCTTTGCTGCACTTGGTTCAGTATGTGCAAATCCCTCTTGCAGCAGGGAGCCTGGATGAGCCAAGCATCCCACATACGGCCTCACAAATTTGGGCTACATTTTTTAAACCACACCTTTGGAGTGTGCACAAATTTAAGTCATACGTGATCTCTTCCAAACTGGTGAAAGAAAGGCTATGTTTTACATGCTAGTAAGACATTTATATATGTACTGCTGGAAGAGTGAGGTTTTATATTCACGTGGAATGAAACTTCCAAAATAAAGGTGCTAACATGTGGCTTATGTGACAATAACCTTGCTACCAAGAAAGTTATCAAGATCGTACACAAGAATGGGTAACTAGATCGTCAGGCGTGGTGAGATAGCTCATTGCTGGGAGATACAAGCTCGCTTAGTGTCTTCAGAAGTTGTTGCATGTCCTCTTGTAATAAAAACTTAATCTTTTGGCAGGAAATAAAGCAGAAAGTACTACAGGGATCCCCTGTACACCTCCTCATTTAAAGAATGTCTTAGGT